TATTAGGATGTTGCGGGGTCTGTCCCAACATCCATCTAAGTATTTTAGAGGCTTCATAGATAGTCAGTCAGTTAGTTTTGAGTCTCTTATCTATGTATATATGTAAATATTCTATTTTGAGACTCGAGTTGCCCCTTTGGGCCTTAATTTTTATCAGTTAAGTTGATTATGTCTTTGCATGGCATTGAGCTATTCTGTTTAGTCAGGTTTCCGCTGAGTTAAGAAAGCCAGGCCAAGGGTTTTCTTGGGGCCAGCAATGGTCTCCGAGTGCCGGTCCCGCCCAGGGTGTAGGCTCGGGGCGTGACAAGAATCGAGGATAGTACAAATCAAGATTCAAGAATTAAGTATAGTAAAAAAATTAAAATAAGAGATTACAACAATTAACTAACAACACTCACATCTAATAAAACGAGAGATAGAATAATCATTAGAAGACGCTAGTGGCATGACTACTTGAAGTTTCAAGCGCTAAATTGAATCTTGAATTCTAGTACCTAACAAAATAGATTAGGGTTGCTACTCTATCATTGCTCCATTCATCTTCTAAATATTTTTGGAAATAAAGGGAAAATCTAGTAAAATGATTTGCAATGGAGTTGTCATACTTGTCTCAACTAGTAAAATGATTGCATGATTTATGGATCGTAGTTCCGGTTGGGGGAAGAGGTGAGGATGACAAAGTTGTACTATGTTGATGATAAGAATCATTGCTAATGAATCTTTATTTTTGGGATTAGTCACCCAATATCCAAAGCTTAATGCCCTGGCTAATTCCGATTCACACTGGATAAGCCCATTAAGAAAAGAACGTTTTTATTAATAAAATGTTTTTATTTACCTCTTGTTAAGGATAAAAAGTGTGTCCTTTAACCCCAACAGGACAAGAGTATACAGGTTTGTCGGGGGGAAATAGAGATCGTTGAACTATCATTACTTACTTCCAGCGTCAATCAATCAGTAGTCTCCAATTTCCTCTCGATTGTTTATAAGAAATCGCTTATACCACTCATATTTCCTGGATTGACAAATTTAAAAACACTTAGATAGGAGATTCTTTTGTAAACATTCAAGTTGACAATTGGTTTCTCGACAGTTAGTGGACTCTACATTGATCAAATTAATCCTTCATGTATGGGGGGTTGGACTATATTTTAGTCATTTATACATATCACATAGCATATTGTCCTTAATGTACAGAAAAAATAATTATATTAGTCCTTCATTCATACCATGTAGTCGAAATACTCATTAATGTATAGAAAAAATGACCCTTTTGGTCCAAATATATCACGTAATTGAAATATTCATTAATATATGAGAAAAGAGATCATTTTTGTCCTAAACCTTGAAAGTAACGAAACATGTGAAGTTTAATCAGCAACTCATGTGAGTTGTATAAAAGCACAAAATAAAATGGGAGTGAAACATTTTGGCCAAAACCAAAATGTTAATGATGAGAATAGAGGGCCAAATTTCGCTACCTTTTATGGTAACTCTTGTACCAATATTTGATATATATTTTTGCCTTCGAAACCATAACCAGTTGTGTGTCTTGCTACAAGAAGAAAACAATTTTATAAGTAGAGAAAATGGTTTTGCATAATCGGATGGG